CGGCAGACACTGGTCTAAACACTTCATGTGTATCAGCCCACTTAATATACATTAAATAGTACATGGAAAGTGCTTAGAACAGAATACTGCACAAATCATGTTACTTACTGCTGTTTTCTCATGTAGTTCTCACTATAACCCCGTAAGGTATCGTCTCTGCTTATTCTCATCCTGTCCGTAAGGTCACTGAAGCTCGGGGTAACGTTGCTAGCAACGCCTAGGCCCCTTCCCTGAAGATTCTCATGTAGCTGGTCAAGGTTGGCTGCTTATTAGTATTTTTTAAAAGCTCCTCAGGTGATCATATGGACAACGGGAGTAGAGAATCACAGATGCTAAGAAGTAGAGCCAGGATGCAAACTCTGCATCACACAGATTATAAACTCATACCTGTATGACAACCAGAATGGAAAGGGAAACAGTGAAAATGCACCCAGCTCCACGGAGGCGATTGTTTTTACCCTACTAAACATCGGACGTATCAGATCAGACTGACTCTTGCACTCTTGCGGGGGAGTGAAGGAGGAGGAATTAAACACAAAAGAATCAGCTGATTGTTATAGTTTATAGATGGTTCTGCCCTAGCCACAGCCCAGAACAATCCATCTTTGTAGCCAAGCAAGGAGAGGTTCCCCAAACTTGCCTCGTTGTAACCATCACCCCACACAGACTACTGGTCTTCCCCAAATCTGACTGCTGCTCTAGGGGCGGAGCCCAGAAGTCAGTGTTTTTAGCACACACTTGGAGGAGCTTATGATTGGCGAGTTTGGGCACCTGTGCCCTGGGTGGTAACACACTCATGGCCCCTCACCCAGGAAGGCAGGCTGGGATTGTTCATGATGCCCATGTGACCCCAGGGGCATGTATATCTGAACTGCCCCCCAAGCCCCAGCATTTTGGATGCCTCATTTAAAAAGGATTAGCATTACAAACATTATTCTAACTAAGGCAATAGTTTCCAAACTTTTGCATTTCCTGGACCAGCACTTTTCAAAAAAGTAATCTAGAGAATGACATAAATCCACCTAATTTTATTTTGCCACATAAGGACATTTAAAATCAACTATAGCAATAACAACTTTGTCCCCCTTCATACATATATCACCAAAAAGGCCAGTCTTATAATTTGAGCAAATTTAGCTTTATGGAAAACTCACTGCACTTGCTTTATTTTTTTCACTTCGCTGTGGGTTGGTCTGTCCTCATCATTGACTGTCCAATCTCTGGGCTGCTGTCTAGGAATCACTGGTCTAAGGTACCAGCCCCCATTCCCTCAGTTCCTCAACTGATCTGATTTTGACTGGGTGACTGTCACAGGCCAGAGCCCATGCTGGGTGCCCCAGAGAGAATGATGAGCAGGGCAGTCGCGGTTCTTGCCTCATGGATTATGGTGTGGAGAAGGAGATGGTCACCTGGGAGCCAGTTACTCTAAGTGGATGTCAACTGAAGAAATAGTCATAGTTTGGAAAGGAGAGCTTTATTTCTCATAAAGGGTTGCAGTCTGTGGGTGGCCATCCTGGCAGGCTGGAAAGCCAAGCCATAGGCCAGAACAAGCCAGGAACAAGTGCTTCAAGGCAGAGACAATGGGAATAGGAATTTATACTAAGCAGGATGGCCAGATATACATATTTAACAAACTATAGGAGTCAAGAATATTTATGAAAGGCAGAATATGCACATACACAATCGAGCTTTATGTCCCTCTACGAGGTCTATGTTCAGAACATGGTGGCCCTCTTATGTCAAAAGGTGAAGCAAGGACATGAAAACCCTCTCTGCACATGCTCTGTAGACTGGTAAAAACCACTCCATGGTTGGTGGTCTCTTACCAGGAAAGAACCCTGGTTAATTGTAGTGCCGAAACCACAAATAGGGAGGAGTAGATCGTGAGATAGGTTTCTGTTTACCCCTCAGGAACAAAAGCCTGATAGCAAGGGAGGGGGTATAATCAGGTGTGTTCAACCTCCCATCCCACCATGGCTGGGAACTCAGTTTTAATGTTCCTCCAGGGTCCCCTTGGTCAAGAGGGGAGCTCTATTCAGTCAGTTGGGGGGCTTAGGATTTTATTTTTGTTTGTATGGGTCAGAAGGTAAGTATAGGGCTCCCTGGCTGCAGGAAAGAGGGATGTACAGCAAACCCAGACTTCCAGGAGGAGATAGCACCTATGCTTAAACTTGAGTTTCGTCAGGGCAAGGAGGCAGCATGGGAGAGCCACAGTGAGGAAGGGGAGAGAGCGCATGGCACTTTCTGGGGCCTAGAATAGTGAAGAGCAGTCAAGAAGCCGGGGGACCTGAAGCCAGGATTAGGTAACATAGGACCACCCTGAGAAGTCTGTATTAAAAATGGCAGGAATCCATTGAACGCTATTAAGCAAGGGAATGACACCATCAGATTTTCATTTTAGGAAAGACACTTTGGAAAATATTCTCTTGGACTCTGGGGTTCTTGGCTGGTTCTCTATTTTATGAAGATCACATGGTTAGTGTGTTAAGTAAGCATTTGTAACTTCCCCTCTAATTCTCCTCTCCATAACCGATTATCATACTGATTAAGAACCTTTCATGGCTGGGTTCGGTGGTTCATGCCTGTGATCCTAGCACTCTGGGAGGCCGAGGCTGGAGGATCGCTTAAGCTCAGGAGCTTGAGGTTGCAGTGAGCTACAATGACACCACTGCATTCTATCCCTGGAAACAGTGAGACTTCGTCCCTCAAAACAAAACAAAACAAAACAAAAAGAACCTTTCATGAAATACAAATAGAATGTAAATGTAAATTCTAGAACTTGACCCTACTCAAAACAGTTTCTCTAAAGCACGCTCAAGTTTTATATTCCTTTCTTGTGTCTATCTTTCTAGCTCTTGATTTTCTCTGCATAGGATATTAATGTTCTGGGTTGTGTTTGATCACTCATGTGCCTTTTTCTGTCCGTTTTCTTAATGCATGCTGCCTCTGCCAAACTCAAACTCCTCACCTGCATTGACCTCTACAGCCAGAAAATATAATCTTGGCTCTAAAGGTAAAGTCCTTGTTTGCTGTTTCAAGTTACTCTAAAGCCAGCGAGCAGCCTTTCTGTTCTTCTCTGTTGTCTTCACTGTGATGGTTTTTAAATTATTTGTTTCATCTTAGTTTTTGCCATAATCTTTAATCTTTTAAGTGACACAGCTCTGTACATTTAAATCTTGGTCTTCAATATAATCTACAAAACACTCCAAGATCTTGGTGTATCAGAAAACAATTTAGGTACTGCCAGACCTTGGCTAGACTTCAGCCTAGAAGTGAACTCTTGAAATGACATATCTTGTTTCTGATAGTGTCTGATATTTATTCAGTAACATCAGAAAGGTTGTGTATAAAATATAAAATTTGCATTTGGAGCTAAAATCAGTGTATTTAAAACATTTCAATATGCCTTCTCTCCTGGGTTTGGGTTTAGTGTCTTCTGGGATTCAGAAAGGATTTAAAATTCCTTTAAAATAGTAAATAATTTAGAATGTTTGCTGAAAAAATGATAGAAAAATATGTAAGAGTTTGGAATGCCTCGGCTGGTTTCTTAACTGGCCAATGATGTTAGTCCTCAAGGAAGGGTTAAAGAGTCACCTAATAATGACTCTATGGACATAGGATGGGGTTAGCTTCAGCAAGAGCATGTACTTGATGAATACAGCAAAATTCAGCCACTTTTTTTTCGTTTAAGCATTTTAATTTTAATATTTAAGTAGATAATATTCGAGTTCCATGTGCACCAGACTTAATAGTCTTGAATGTTTGCTCATAGAGTTAACTACTATTTATTGAATATATACTATGTGCTGGGCACTTGACTAGCTGTTTTCACATTCAGTCATTTCATTATCTGTCCCTCACAATATGCTTATGAAATTAAATGTGACACCTTACAGTTTAGGGAACTAAAGTGCCCTGCTGGGATGTAAAGCAGGTCTTTCTTCTGATTCCAATTTCAGTGTTCTCTTCCAAGGCATCTTGTTTGCTCCTGGGAACAAGACTTGTGTTTTGTTTTCCTTTGCTCAGGGTACCTTCAGAATCCATTGCTATCTAGCTTGTCCATTTAGTTGCAAACTGCCAACCTGTAATTCTCTGCCATTCTTTAGCAATGTTAATAACTGCACGCTTGGATTGGAATGGGATCGAGTTTCCTCATCCAGTTGCATTAATTTCCATTTATTCTAGAATCAAGCCAGCGGTGATCATGAAAATATGTGTAGGTCATATGATTGTATCTAGAAATTGTGCTGGTTCCCAGGAACTTAGGAGCTTCTGAGACACGAGCTGTGGAGCCCCATACTTCACCGGGATATGCCAACCAGGTCATGGCACGAACAATGCCATTTGTTAGGTGTCTACTCTGTGCCTGGTACTTTTGTTTGGCACATTATATCTAATCATAGATTATTTCTGATTTTCACAATGACCTGACAAGGTACATATTATTATTCCCAGTGTATTGATGGAGAAACTCAGTGAGTGGCCTGTGTTTAACATTCCTGATTCAGAGAGTCTGAGCCTTCTTTCTAAATTTAGATATATTCCAGATTTTTTGCCATCCAATCCAAACTGCTTTGAATTTTTAATAACTTCTACTTGTCCTATCTTTCTGGTGTAAACACCTTATATGTAGATTATTTGGTATGCAAACAACTCCTGCCGAGACTTATTAAACCACTTAAAAACAAACAAAATACCTTCGGAGTTGAAATTAACCCATTTGCAGCTTGGCCCTGCATTTGGACATCTTACTGGGGGTTGAAAGGAAGATAGTAACTGCTTGGTCCCATGTTCTAATAACTAAATTTTCTGCTTCCTCTGTTTCAAGAAGGATCTTCAGAATGGGGTGTGGGGGGAATATATATACACACACACACATACACATTAAGATTCAACTCATGGTGGCCAATAGGTTAAAAAAATGAAACATGTACACTGTGAAACATTCTACTTATTATTTCGTATTACAGTATGTGCTGTTTCTTGTGTTTGAATTGCAGGTCCTCAACTATGAGATAGGAATTATTATATGCGCTCTCCTGGGACTGCTCTTTGTCATCCTGATGCCTCTGGTGGGGTATTTCTTTTGCGTGTGTCGTTGCTGTAACAAATGTGGTGGAAAAATGCACCAGCGACAGAAAGAAAATGGGCCCTTCCAGAGGAAATGCTTTGCAATCTCCCTCTTGGTGATTTGTATAATTATAAGGCAAGTAGAACCCTGGACAACAGCGAATTGTGTTTTAGGGTGATGAGGAATGCCTCATGTTTTTAACTGTTAAACCCATGAGTTTAAAGCAAAACAAAACAACAACAGCAACAAAAAAATCACGAAACAGAAAAGGAAGAACAAAAGTGCTTGTCTAGGGTGATTCAAAAAGATGTCATTCTCACCAGATGTGAGCTTTGTAATGAAGCCGCCCTAACTTAAGTGATGAGCCAGCCGCTTGGTATTTTCTCCTCTTTATGGTATCTTGACGTATCTCGGACTGCAGAAAGCATTCACCTCCCAGGGCAGCAGCTCCCTCCTCCTAGATAGCTGTCTGGAGACAAGGCAGCATGCAGGAAGCCAGAGCCTGTATTTACTTATTGATTTGCTAGTTGAGTCCAAAGGAATCTTGAGGGATGGGTGCAGTCCCTGAATTTGGAAACTTGAGAATATTGTAGAATGCAATTAACTTTCTAATAATAAGCCCCATTTTCTTGAATTTGCTGTTAATTCACTACCCTCTCTTGGAGTCTGAAACACACTTGATGATTTAGGATGTTTCTGCTGCAGCTTTTATTGCTGCCAAAAGTTTTCCAGTTGACTGACAAATCAGAAATACATTGCTTTTAAGATGATGGTGTTTTGTTGAGTCCAAATCTGATTCCTCAGCGGAGGAACGTGCATCACGATACCAGTCCCCTTGTTGTGATATTTGGTTATTATTCCTCATTCATTCAACTAGTGTTTCATACAGCGACAAAAATAAAGTTCCTTCTACATGAATAATGCTGGACCTCATGGAGATATAGGGACAACAAATGTTTGCAGTCACCGTGCTCCTTGTCATTTCTCCAAATGCCACATTTGCTCCATAGCCATAAGATTTTTCAAGTTTTATCAAGTAAGTGGTATTTGGGCATTTAAGCAGAAAACAGTAAGGCCTACAAGTTGAGGTTCTACCTGCAAACCCAAGAAGAATAGACTAAGGGTGGCCAGCGGCAGAGGTCTGGTAAGGTACCTGGTCTGGGGTGGCCATTCATTGGCATGCATCGAAAAGGACTGGGGAGCTCTAGGAGTGTTGACACTAAATAGTTGCCCAGAAAGTTGAAGTGAAAAAAGCAGGTTGCACACCATGTGGAGAACATGGTAGCTACGATGAAAACAGAACAAGAGGGACGCACAAGCACTTGGTTATATTTGCACAGAGCGGATGTGAAAGAGTTGACAAGAAACCAGCAACAACAGTTGCCTCTGGAAAGGAAATTGAGGGTCGGAGAGGGGGAGGGAGGGAATCCTCTTCTTGCTGTAGCGAGGCTTTTTGTCTCTTTTGAATTATGTACTAGGCTAGGGTATTATTTATTGAATTAATTAAACTAAAACTTAAATTTGAATAACAACAAAATCCCCACAACAGACAAAAGCCAGTGCATTGTCACTTCTTCCAGGGCAGTGATTATTTAAGCAAAGACACATTTTTATTGAAAATAGCGGGATAATAGATGGTAAAAATACACGTATGCAAACAGGATCCAGGTGAATGGGTCAGCCTTCATGGGCTGTTTGTTGATGAGGGAGTTCCTCAATCTCAGAGATTGAGATTGGCATGTAAAGCATCTCTCAATCTCAATCTCTATCTCTTTTCTGTCTCTCTTTTTCTGTCTCTGTGTCTGTCTTTCTCTTTATGTCTCTAAAAATAATTTGAATCTGACTGTTTCTTTACATTAGATTATGATAGGCAGCTTAGGATCAGGCCAGTGGTGATTCCAGATGTTCCTGTCTCTCTGTTTTGTGTTTGATATACTCTCAGACATGCACAGCCCCCTGCAGCTGTAGGGGTGGTTACCTCCTCCCCAGCTACCAGAAGAATGTCAGTTACAGCCCAAAGACCTGTCAGACCCAGCTGGGATCCTGGATCCCTGTGCATTTCCTGTAAGCCTGAGACTTTAATGCTTCATTCATTCAGAGATGTATGTGGACAGCCACGTGTCTCCCCTTCCATACACCCTGGACAGTATAGACGAGGCTCTGATAGGAAAGTGCAATCTGCAAATATTGCCCTTAGGGCTTCTTGTTAGAGTGATTACTTACTTAACAAGTTAGTAGCTTTCATTTTGATGTAAATATATACATATTATAATTTCAGGAAAATCCTTCATTACCTAAATAAATGTTTACATATGTAATAATGGGTCTTCAT